TGACCTCAAGTATAGAATTTCAGATCAATAGCTGCTGTGCTTGGATTCTGAGACATAAAACAATCCCTAGTGTTTTTGTTACCCCAATGAGTATTATCAGACAAGGGATTACTATGGCAATTGCGGGGTCTTATGATATTAATGGGGTTTTTTTTGGTCCAAAAAGAAATTATTTTAAAAAGTAAATGCCTTCTGTTCACTCTTCTTGGACTATGTGATAACTTTCAAACATATAATAAAAAATTATTCAGACGGCACCAGTGGTCATTAATTGCTTGTACTAGAAATAACATTTTCTCCTCAGATGCAAAGTATTCCAGTGGGATGCAAAATTCCGTTGGGTCTAACCACCTTTTAACTCTTCCATGAAAGGGTAACAGATCTCCCAATCTGGGGCCAAATAAAAATGTTAACGCTTCACAAACTGGACTTGGGGGTAATAAAAAAGGGAAATAATGTTATGACAACATGTACCATGACGTCAACTGACGTGATATTTTACTTGTGTGTAACCAAAAAACAGAAACCATTTTAAGTATTTACACCAACAGAGGGAATTAATTTGATGCAGAGAATTGGCTGCCCATATAAAGAAGCAGCTGAGAACCAGATAAGGAAGAGTAGAGTAACCAAGAAAGTAGACACACCAGGAAGCCACTACGTTATCCAGGCAGGAAAAGCAAAGAAAGGAGAGTCTGTGCCACCAAATGGGAGCTGAAACCAGAGGGGGCCTGTCTGGTCAAAGCTGAAGCTGTAAAGCAGAAGGAGCCTCAAGCAGAAAAGCTACCTGAGGCAAATGGGTGGCAAGAGTGAATGGATTGGGGATAAACTAATAAACTGCTGGCCTTTGTCTTCTCTCTCTTTCTGCTATCTCCTTCCAGTGGCTTTGACCGGGTGCAATTGCACCTCAAGAGCACATGTAAGGTTGAAGATTTCTCAAAGAACTTAAAACTGAGCTACCATTGGGCCCAGCAATCCCATTACTGGGTATATATCCAGAAGGAAACAAATCATTCTACCAAAAAGACACAAGCACTTGCATGTTCATCACAGCACTATTCACAATAGCAAAGATATGGAATGAACCTAGGTGCCCAATGATGGTGGACTGGATAAAGAAAATGTGGTACATACACACAGAATACTACACAGCCATTAAAAACATGAAATCATGTCTTGTGGAGCAACATGGATACAGCTGGAGGCCATTATCCTAGGCAAATTAATGCAGAGAAAGAAAACCAAATACCCCAAGTTCTTATAAATGGGAGCTGAACACTGGGTACACATAGACATTAAGATGGCAACAATAGACACTGGGGACAACTAGATGGGAGAGGGAGGGAGGGGAGCAAGAGCTGAAAAACTAACTTGGGTAGTATGCTCTATACCTGGGTGATGGCATTATTTGTACCCTAAACCTCAGCATCACGCAGTATACCCAGCTAACAAACCTGCATATGTACCTTCTTAATCTGAAATAAAAGTAGAAAAAAACACCACTAATAAAAAAAGCATCTGCAAAATATAGCTGGCTAGGACCAATCCTCCTACGGTACAGACAATAAAAGGGAAGAACTAGAATCTGAGGACAAAGAAGCTGGGTCTGGCCCTCTTTGTCCTCAATTCATCCTCTCCTGTGAATTTACTTTACCTGGTTGGTCCCTTTCCATATAAAGCCAAAAACTCGTGAGTGGATCTGTTGAGTTTCTCACCGTATAGATTTTTACAAGAGGCTATGTAAGCTATGATAAAGCCCTGCAACGGGGTATAAATGTTCTTAAAATTTTGAAAGATTTTTTTAATACAATTGGTACACATGGAGAGAAAGTATTTCCTTTGGTGTGGTTTTTACCATTGCCAAGAAACTAGGTGGCCATTCTCTCATTGCTTAAGAATATTTAAATATGAATTACAACCTACAGTTTTTCCTAGGTTTAGAACACAAGGACTAGCTTCAAGGTTATATAAAAAACACATGGGTTAGTAAATGTACTAACATCCAACATCATAACATATTTCTGAGCCCCATTGTGATCCCTCCATTTTACATATTAAAAAATAATGACATTCTACTATTCGATTGTGAGTTGAAGCAAGGCTGCTGAGTGTCCTAGTCCATTTGGCCTACTATAAAAAATGCCATAAATTTAGCAATTTATAAACAACAGAAATTTCTTTCTTACCGTTCTGGAGTCTTGGAAGTATGAGACCAAGTTGACAGCAGATTTAATGTATTGGTGAGGGCCCACTCTCTGGCTAATAGATGGCAACTTCTAGTTGTACCATGACATGGTGGAAGAAGATGCAGGTTTCTCTTGGGCTTCTTTTATAAGGTCACTAATCCCACTCACGAGGGCTCTGCCCTAATGACCTAATCTCCATCTAAAGCCCTCATCTCTTAATACCATCACCTTGGGGGTGAGAACTTCAACGTATACATTTTGATGGGACACAAACTTTCAGACCATAATGAGAGGTGAAGCCAGCTGGAATTCCGGGGTCGAGTGGGGACTTGGAGAAGTTTTCTGTCTTACAAGAGGATTGTAAAAACGAACAAATCAGCACTCTGTAGCTAGCAAGGGTATTGTAAATGCACCAATCAGCAGGATTCTAAAAGTAGCCAATCATGGGGAGGATTGAAAAAAGGGCATTCTGATAGGACAGAAACAGAACATGGGAGGGGGCAAATAAGGGAATAAAAGCTGGCCACCCCAGCCAGCAGCCGCAACCCACGCAGGTTCCCTTCCACCCTGTCAAGCTTTGTCCTTTCACTCTTTACAATAAACCCTGCTACCACTCTTTGGGTCCGTGCCATCTTTAAGAGCTGTAACATTTACCTAGAAGGTCTACGGCTCCATTCTTGAAGTCAGGGAGACCATGAACCCACGGGTAGGAACCAACTCCCGACACAATAACGCTGAGTTTGATTCTCCTTGCCTTGAACAATGAAGGAAGAAGTCTCTCTCTTCTCTTCCAAATTACATTATCAAACAAAGCTCATATGGAGAAACATTGTTAGCACTGTTTGTGCACCCTCTTACATTTTTAAAGGCTTTCTTAGGCACTTTCTTATTCTCATCATAACCCATTTTATAGGTGTTGGCAGAAACCCTTGCCAGAGCCATCAATCCCAATAGTCTGCTGCCTACCTCAAAACTCTGCCATGTTCTGTTCTTATCATGCCTATATTTCTGAAATTCTATACAATTTGGACTTAAGTCTAGAATATCCCTGAGATGATCCTACTCCTTAGAGAAATTCAAAGGACATACTCTCATATGGGTTCTGAGGGCCTGCTTTCCATATCTCTCAAGCTAAGAAAATGACTTTCCTAATATCTTTAGAATCAGGTGAACTAAAAGAAGCTTAAATGATGGTTATCCTAGTATAGCCCCCAAATAGCACATACCGAAGTAAGTTTCCAAATGAGATCATCATCACTTGAATGTGTGGAGATCATGATGTGAAATTTATATGACTTCTTTAAATGTACACAATCAGAAATAGGCATCTAAACGCAAAGTCCCTCCAATTTCCTACCAGAACACTGTCCCAGCATTGTAAGTTGATTGGGTGTTCCAAGATAGAATATCAGAAAAAGCTGTTACAGAAATGCCCGCTTGTTTATATTTTATTTCTTCTTTTCAAATGAAGTTAAGAGAGCCTGCTTAACTATGAAACATTGCTCTTCTGAAGAAGTAGAGGGCTCATGAGATGAAGTCATGACAAGGGATAAGAGTTCCAGCCTCAACTCAAAACCCATAGTTAGAGTATTGTTACTACATTCAACAACAACAGCAGCAGCAATAACAACAACAAAATCTGAAACTGAGCAAGCAACAAGACCTTGGGAGAGAAATTCCTTCTTTTACTTGATACCATTTTGCCAGAGCTTTAAACAAGGGTGAAGGCTTTGTGAATGACAGAATTAGAGGGCATATTGAGGGGCTGTTTTCCATCACAGGACCCCCAGATCTCCACTTCTACTAATGGGAACACTGTACACCCAGCCATCCAAGATCAGACCTCCTGAGTACAGCAATTTTTTTTTTTTTCTTGGAGATTTGTCTCGTTAGGATTTTAATTAAGCTCCTGCCAGGCTTGCAAAGTTTTTAATTTTACCTTTCTTTCTTCTTTCTTTTTCTTCGTTAAATCAGCTGGCTTGCCAGGAAACTTTTCCCAAGCTGTCACAGTTACAGTAAGCATACCCTAAGATATTAAATTTAGAGACATACCAGTAGTTGCTTCTCGAAGGATTAATAGCACAAGTACCCTTGCATTTGGAAAAGATTTTCATTGATTTATTCATTCATTTATTCACTTTTACTTAAGTGTGTGTGTGTTTTATGAATTAAAAAAACAGAAAAAGAAGCTTCATGGAGTGTACAATGACTACTGGTTAGTAATAGATATAACTCACTCTCTTATAACGTCACCAGTTTAACAGAAGAAACTTGCCATTACTTAATTTGATAATCACACTGTTCATAAGCAAATTATGGCTGTTTACTAGTGTTAGTGGGTGAAGGGTGAGTGAACCAAGAGAACATGATGTCTTAGTTGATAATTTAACACATATTTCATGAAATGTAATATTTAATTCACTTAGGGTTCTTTTCAAGACCCCTTTGTATTCAAACTCATTGCAATTCTGAAAGTATAAAGGCAGAGATGAGGGGTGCACACGGTGAACCCTTTAAAGCAGATTTGATGAGACACTATTTTCATTTGAGGACGCTTGGTTAAATTGACTACCCTAAATAGGATGTCATATTTTTTTCCTAATAAAAAAAACAAAACAAAAAAAACCACCTCAGATAATACTGCAGGGCCAGAAATAAAACAAGCCATCAAAACAAAACGAAAACATAAGATATGGAGCATCGGGGATACTATCTGTTCCCCATGATTATTATTATAATCATTCTTATTATTTACTTAATAATTCCAGGATGTCAGGTTATTCCACCACCTGCCCTTTTCTGTGAGGTACTTACTGATCGCTTCCACAAACCGCTCAAAGAAACTGTAAGGGAAGAGCGGCTCAGGCAGCTCCCGGAAAAACATCTTCAGTGCTCCGGTGACAACGTGGATGTCCTCCCACTGGCTGTCGTCCAAATTCAGCTTCTCTTCTGGGAAAACACGAGGAGAAATGGAACAACTGGTTTTAATGAAACAATTACAAGACACTAATTATTATGTTAATGTTTGCCTACTATCATCAGCAACCGTTAACAGCCTTCTGCACCTAGAGGTTTGGTGCTGTGCATGTTTTTTTTTTCCCTCCCTCTTTCCGTAGGAAGGGAACATTTTCAATGGAATACCATCTGTAGGAATGCAGCTAACAAAAAAACAAGAGACACAAAGAGACAGTGCCATTGACACAGTATGTCAGATACATTTATTCCCATAATGCATCAGTATGAAAATTAGCATCACAGCTCAACATGATTCAAAGCTATTTGGTTTTGAGGCTGAGGGGCTAAGAGTTGCCAATGATGGCCGGCTCAAGGGACCAGCCTAAAGGCCTTGCTGAGCCAACAGGAGACATATGCTAAACATGGCAATAGAAAATGAGTTATTGCTTTACATGTGTTAGCCTTGCTATGTACAAGGGAATAATGGGTAACACTTTTTCCCTTTTTTTGCCTGAATATAAAGTCAGCAAGGAATAGAATACTGAGAAAGGATATTAATTCTTTCTTACTGCTTCAAAATATTTTTTTTTTTTTAGTTCTCATCTCAGTGAGGAAAATATGCCCAGCAACAATATTAGACAGACCCCTGTTGGCCTACGTAGGCTATGCAAAGCTGTCAAAAATGATAACACACTAAAGACAAACCACAAGTGCTTACCAACTCTTTTTAGAAACAACAGAAGTATTTGCTTGGGAAGCTTGAGTGAGTGGAAATGTTGAAATATTAAAGGAAGTAAAAGCCAAAATGAAGGTTGTAGTAGAAATAAAGTGTGCTGGGCAATTATTTTTGTCCTTTTCACCCTCAATATGAATGTCTGGAATTAGTCTCACCCAAGAAGTGGATGCATTCATGTCTGAAAGGGACATCTTGACATAAAATGAAAAGGAAGCAAGGTACAAAGGCACTGCTGTCGAGCCAGACGATTTGTCTTTCTAAACGGGCAACATGGAAAAGGTTTTGGATTCTGGGCTTCATGAAAACTTAAACTAATCATTTTAGACAATCTGGGGGTTAACTGAAAAGCTGAGAATCCTGGCAAACACTGAGGTATTTGGTCAACTGAAAATTTGTTTCTTTACTGATGTCTTGGGCTCGCATTCACATGTCCCTTGGATGTCAGTTTTATGAATGCAGAGGAGCATTTTGCACCAAAATGTAAGAAAAGCTGAGAATTGTCACTGTAGGGATTCTCTGCATGGGCTGTTTTGCTAATAATGTTCATGTCCTTTTAAAAATATTAGCCCAAATCTTCAGCAGATCTTTTTTTTTAAATAAATGAACGATCGCTTCTAAGGCTTATAGTAAGTGGTGTTCCTGCTCAACAGTGTGTTTGCAAAGAGAAGACATGAAGGTGAATCTGTTTATTTCAGATGGGTTAATCTTTCCTTTCAGTCTTCATTCCTACCTCAGTCATAACACAATAATATGATCCACAACAAAATCAGCAGAGGAGACCTTCTTTCTGCCCTGCAATCATTTTTGATTGATTGTATTTCAACAATTAGTCTTTTATTTGGCTGCACACTATTGAAATAGGCCGACAGCATCTTAGCAGGCCAGCTTTAAACAGTCAACTGTTAACAATAGCATCAAAAAGGGAGACCTGACGGGGTTTACTGTCACTTTAAAGAACGGGGTTTTCACATTGTTGAAATCTGTCAGATATTTTGAAATGTCCCTCTCACTATGGTGCCACACCCCCTGCGTGCCCTTATAATAAAATTGGTTTTACTCCTGATTAAATCATTTTCTCCCTACCCACTACCATACTTCTCATAATGGACCTGTGTGCTCTACAGCTGGTGTTCTTCCCATGGTACCAATTCTTACTTTATCTTTTAAGCACTTTGCTGCTAAGATCTCATGCAGAGTGCTTATGTTTTGTTAAGAGCTTCATTCTTAGAGAAATAGCTTAACACATGTTCTAAAAATGTTGTACAACTTATTGCTTAAAACACATTTAGAAAATGTATAAGTACTGTAGCTTTGGCACTGAACTTTAAGTGGAAACCTAAACACACGAAAACACACACACACACACACACACCCCCACAAATATCTCAACCAAAAATTTATCAGAAAAGTCCAACACAAAATGCCATTTTGGTGCACAAGTTTGAAATTGCTAAAGGAAAGTGTTCAGCAGGTAAAAAAGAGAATGATTTTAACTTGACCAAGGAAACAACACCACCAACAAATAATGGCTTAACCAAAGGAAAACAGCATTAATATTACTCATCTCCACATTAATATCAGTTAATTCAAGTGAACATGAAAATTGAATGTAGTGATAGATAAAGAAAATTTACCAATGAATAGATACTATTTGACCATTTGATTATCTCTACTTAAAATACCATATAATAATAACTGTATCACTTAAACCAACATTCCTACTATAGATTCCTATGTAGTTTCCATTTAAAGAAATAATAATAATAATTTGTAGCCCTTCAGCAAGTAGCTTAAATAGGCAATATGGCAAATAGTTGGAAAGAGTATTTTGAAATATAATACTAATTTTTATATCAAGTTTTCATAATCAACCAAGGTTAAGATCCCTTGTAAACCAGATGATGTTAAGGCAAATTTTGCAAGGTCACTGTAGTTTATCTAAACATGAAGTTATGTCCATATAGTATGCCTTCTCATGAAGCCAACCAGTCTTCAAGATGAACTAACTGTAACCCTATCCTGGTGTTAACAGGCATTATTGCAAATGTATTTGCATTATTTGATAAGCATTTTCTAACTAGATTCTACACAGTGATGATGTCTTATACTTTTCCCTTTTCTAATAGTGTTTCTCAAAAGCACCACACTATTGACATTTGGGGCTGGAAAATTCTTTGTGGTGGGGGCTGTCTTTTACATTCTAGTATGTTTAACAGTATCCCTGACCTTAATCCATTAGAGGCCAGTAGTATTTCCCAGTGGGGATGATAAAAATTGTGTCTAGAGATTGCCACGTATCTCCCCATCGTGCAAAATTATTCTTGGTTGAGAGCCACTATAGTGAAGTTTATAAGTGTCTATAGAAGTCACTCAACAAAGATTTATGAAGTTTACCATAGGTGGGCAGGGAACTAGAAAATTAGATACACACATATTAATATTTCCTTAATATGAACTTAAGAGTTGGTAATTATTCTTGACAAAATCATAACTTTTTATAGAACAAAATCCATATGAACTCATTCAGGGTACTTTGCGATGAAAGCAATAACCAACAATTACTTAGAGCTTACACTGTACTAGGGGCTGTGCTATGTACTCTACATTCATTATCTAATTTAATGTTTTCAGCAAGGTAATGAGGAAGATGCTACTGTTATCATCATATCCATTTTACAGATAGGGAAAGTGAGGCATAGGTAGATTAAACAATTTTCCCATGGCTGCCAAGTGATGAAATCAGGATAAAGAGCCAGTAAGCCCCCACTATGTTTAAAATCACCATGTTCAAACTTAATCTTGGCTGGCAGAAGCAGAAAGGGAAAAGGCAAATAAACAGTAATTGCGAATGGTAGTTGATTGACTATTATGTCAAGATTGTAATTTTTACATTTTACCCTTAAATGTCTTACTTGAGGCTATGCTTTTACCTGTAAACTGACTCTCATCTTTGGTAATTACTGACTTGTAGAAGGCACAGATTCTTATATAAACAGATACAAAACAAATTGGTAATAAAAAGCCACTGCATTAGGAAATGGGCAGAGATGGAGCAAATTGTTAGGTAGCAATGGAGTGAAGAGGAAATATGATAGAGTAGGAAAAAGGCCATACAAAACACCCATTCCAGGACTGGATTTACCACTAATTCATTGTATATCTATCTATTTATTTATTTATTTGTAAAATGAAGATAAAAGGATAATTGTTGGTATCAAATGGGAAAATGTATCTGAAAAACATTTTAAAGCATAAGGAAACAAACATATCCAATATGTCACTAGAATGAGGCAGGTGAATAAAGGCCAAAATGGTAAAATAAAAAAGAGACTAAGGCAACTGAAACATTGAACAAACATTGTAAGCCAGCCTGGTTGTTTTAGAGGATTTATCTCAGTGTGATGCAGTTTCTTGAATGGGATCAACAAAAACTACATTGCTATAAAGAACTACCTGGGCCTGGTTAATTTACAAAGAAAAGAAGTTTAATTGGCTCATGGTTCTGCAGGCTGTAGAGGAAGCATAACTGGGGAGGCCTCAGTAAACTTCCAATCATGGGAGAAGGTGAAGGGGAAGCAAGCACATCTTCACATAGCCAGCAGCAGAGAAAAAGTGAAGAGGAAAGTGCTATACACTTTTAAACAGCCAGATCTTGTGAGAACTTACTATCACGAGGACAGCAAGAGGGATATCCATCTCCACGATCCAATCACCTCCCACCAGGTCCCTCCCCCAACATTGGGGATTACAATTCAACAGAATTCAACATGACATCTGGGTAGGGACACAGAGCCAAAGCATATCACATGTTATAGTCCAATCCTAGGAAGACGTCTGGTTGAACCACAATGTCTCACAATCCTTTTAATCTGTGCTGGTTTCTCCTGGCCCTCTAATTAGGTTATCTTAAATTCATTTTGGTTATGGTTTTGCCTTAAAGCATATAAACAGAATTAAAGATAGGTTAAGCTCTACAATGCAAATACCATGTGACTTTTATGAGATCACACACATACACACATAACCTAAATGTTGTACCCAAACAAGGTTATCTTGAAATGCTCTTTCTTGAAGAGTCTTTAGGGCATATTTTAAGTAAAAACTTATATATATCAAGCTTTAAAAATATATTTGAAAGAAAAAATTTGACAGTAGCTATTAGGAGCAATTTTTCTTAAAAAGAAGAACTGAAAGATGAGCCTTTGATAGCCATAGTAGGTCAATGGTAGTTTCCAAGGAAAAGGGGGCATTTAAATAT